AACTAAGCACAAAATCTTCATAACATTGAGTTAAGCACTGTTTTCAATAAACTGTGCTAGAATAAAGGATTTTTTTTCTATATGGAGAAAATGAAGCTTGGCCCTTTTCATATACAAAAACAATTCATTCAAAATGAATCAAAGACCTAAACAAAACAGCTAAACCATAAAATTTGCATAAGAAAACTAAGCACAAAATCTTCATAACATTGAGTTAAGCAATAGTTTCATTGATAGGAACCAAAAAGAATAAATTATAAAAGAAAATAATTAGTAAATTAGACTTAATCAAGACTGAACCCTTTTTTCATGAAAAAAACACAGAAAAGAAAATGAAAAGTCAAGCCACCACCAATTGGGAGAAAATATTTGTAAAGATTTATCCAACAAAAAGCTTGTATTCAGAATATATAAAGAGCACTTCACTAAATAATAAAACAACCCAATTTATAAAAGGGTACTTCACAAAAGAAGACATACAAATGATTAAAAAGCATATAAAAAGATATTCAAGACAATTGGTCATTATGAAAATGAAAATTAAAGTCACAATAAGTGAGATACCATTACACATTCACTAGAATAGACAAAATTAAAAAGATTGACAATACCAACTATTAACAATGTGGAACAATCAAACTTTCATATGCTGCAGACTGGCAGGAATGCAAATGGTACAGCCACTTTCTAGAGAAATTTGGCAGTTTCTAATATGTACACTTCTAGCAAACACTTACCATGTGACCCAGAAATTCTACTCCTAATTAGCTACCCAAAAGAAGTGGAGACATATGTCCACACAAAGATTTGTATGTGATTCCTCAAGACAGCATCATTTATAATAGCCAAGAAAAATAGGAACAATCCAAATGTCCGTCAACTACTGACTGGATAAAGTGTGGTAACTTCATGCAATGGAATACTACTCACAATAAAAAAAAAAAAGAACAAACTATTAATACACACTACATGAATGAATCTCAAAAACATCATGCTACTAAAAGAAGCCAGACCCAACAGACTAGAAACTGTATGATTCCATACATATGAAATTGTAGAAAATACAAAACTCGAATGACAGAAAGAAGATCAATTGTTGCCTAAGGCAGGAGATAGGAGCAGGAACTGTTTGCAAAAGGGCATGAAGAAAGTTTTAGTATGATGGAAAGTTTATAAAATTTCATTGCATTGGTGATCTCATGTCTGCATATATTTACTAAAACTCATTGAATTGGGTACTTGAAAAGGGTAAATTTTATTGTATGTTAATTATACCTAAATAAAGCAGAGGAGAGAGGGAGAAAAGGAGGGAGGGAAGCATGGCCTGAGTCTGATCATAAGGAAACATCAAACAGACCCAGGTTGAAGTTCAACCTACAGAATGAAAGACCCATACTCCTTAAGACTTTCAAAGACATAAAGAAACAGGGAAAGAATGAGGAAATGTTCCAGATTAAGGAAGACTTCTAAAATATAACAACTAACTGCAACACATGTTCCTGTATAGAATTCTTGGCCAAAAAGGAAAAGGAAACAATATTGAGGCAGTTTGCAACATCTGGATGGGGCCACCGATTCACATTTTGATGGTAGTATTGTACTAATATTTCTGACTGGGAAGAGTGAATGATGGTTATGTAGGCGAGTGTCTCACTTTGGGAAGATGCACACTGGAATTGTTAGTAGTAATGAGGCACCATATCTGAAAAAGTCTATATGCATAGGGAAAAAGAGTGAAGTTACAAATGCAGTAAAATGCTAACGAATGGAGAATCCACATCAAAAGTAATCTCAAAATTATTTAAAATGTAACTAAACAAAATAAACAGATCAATCAATAAACAAAGAACACATACCATTTTTATGAATGGAAGACTCAATTCTATACCAAAACTGAGCTAAAAACTTGTATGAAGTCAATAAAGCTTAAACCATTCACTTTCACCCACTTGTTCAAAAACCTTCAATGGCTCCTCATTACCCACCTAATAAGGGGATTACATTAAGTGTGATTACGCTTGTAAAGCACCTTACTCATGACCTCTCACAGTAGAAAGTAAATAGCTTTCAGTATCCTTCCAAAATTCTCAGTCTGGCATTTAAAGGCCTTCAGAATCTAGGCACAATCTATCTTTTTCTTCTTTTTTATTCATTTATTCATTCAATACATATCTATTGAATGACTTTTCTGCCTTGGTCACTATATTAGGTCCTTGGAAAACGTAATGAATAATATAAATATAATTACCCCATTATGGTGCTTAGATGAAACCATTATACAACCAAACTTGCCATTGACCATTCTGAAACAAGTCTCTCTAAAACAAAGCACTGACTAATTCATTCATTTTCTTATTCAATAAATACTCCTTAACTACATCCCTGGCTATCATAACTGTACCTATTAAGGCATAGTTCAAAGGCCTATTTCTCCAAAAAGCTGCTTTGGTGATCTCAAGACAAACTGATGACTACTTGTTCATCTCATAAGGTTCTTATCACATACAGCCTTTTCATTGCACTTATTAGATATAACATTTCAGAGCAAAAACAGATCAGGTTTGGTAAATTCCAATGTCTTCGGTGTAAAGAGGTTAGTAAAGAGTCTAAATGCAATGTCCAGAGATTCCTCAAAGAACTAAAAGTAGACTTACCATTTGATCCAGCAATCCCACTAATGGGGATTTACCCAAAGGGGGAAAAAAAGTCATTTTATCAAAAAGACTCTGCACTAGAATGTTTACTGCAGCACAATTCACAATTGCAAAGATGTAGAATTAACCCAAGTACCCATTAATTCATGAGTGGATTAATAAAATGTGGTATCTGTACACCATGGGGTACTACTCATCCATAAAAAATGAATTAATACCTTTTGCAACAACGTGGATGGAACTGGAGACCATCCTTCCAAGAGAAGTACTGCAATAATGGAAAAACAAATACCATGTGTACTCACTATTAAATTATAACTAACCAATTAGCACTCATGTGCACAGATGGAAGTAAAACTCAATGGAAATAATGCAGGTAGTTAGGGAGGGAGAAAGGGATAGGTGAAATCATGCCTAACGGATACAATGTACACTATCTGGGTGATGGGCACACTTATAACTTTGACTCAAGCAGTACAAAAGCAATCCATGTAACTAAACTTGTACCCCCATAATATTCTGAAATAAAAAATAAAAATAAATAATAAAGTCACAGTAGCAATAGTATGATTAAAATGGGAGGGGAAAAAAGAAAAGATGCTTGACATCACTAATTGTCAGGGAAGTGCAAATCAAAACTACAGTGAGATATCATCTCATACTTTTTAGAATGACTATTATTTTTTTAAAAAAGTTAATAAGTGTTGGTGAGGACATAGAGAAAAGGGAACTCTTATACACTGTTGGTGGGAATGTAAATTGGTAAAGCCATTAAGGAAAACAGTATGGAGGTTCCCCAAAAAGTCAAAAATAGAAGTATCATAGGATCCAGCAATCCTACTTCTGAATATACATCCAAAGGTATTGAAATCAGGAAATCAAAGAGATATTTGCACTGCCATGTTCACTGCAGCATTGTTTACAATAACCAAGATTTTCAGCCAAATCTAATTGTCCATTAATGGATAAATAAATAAAGAAATTGTGGCATATATTAAAAAAAAAAAAATAGATGCATGGAGGCAGTGAGAGCTATGGCCAAGTAGAGGGCATGAGCCCAGTCTAAAGACTTTCAAATTCACATTCTTCTTTAGAATGTATGGCAAAAATGAACACCCTTGAGTTTCAGTTCTCTAATGCAGATTAGTTGAAGTCCCACCCCATCACCTCAATTGGTAGATTAGGAAACAAGATCCAGTAGAACTTCTCAGAGTTGGTGACCAAACAACGCTAAGTGATTCAACACCACCCTCCCTCCAGCGGGCTAGACCCTGCCACCCACCATGTATAGGATGGGGACTGTCAGTCAGGTGTTGGAGGAGGCGAGGCAGTGACAAGAGCGCGAACCTGCCCGTTAACATGCTTGATTCCGATCATGCCTTGACGATGTCAACCGACACAGTCTCACACTGGGCCGCCCCAGGGCGTCCTCCACTCGCCCGTCCTCCCTCTGCTGCTCGCTACTTCCGCGACCCCGGCGCAGCCCCGCAGCCGCTCTCCCCAGAACAGCCCACGGTCCCTCAGGCTCACCTTGAGACATGACCAGGACGCAGTAGAAAACCATATAGACGCGAATGTCATTAAACATCTGACAGCAGGGGATCACTATGCAGCCTAACCCGCAGGGCTCCTCCGAACCGACTTCCGCTTTTGCTGGCTTCTGGGTAATGTGGGGGGTCTCGGTTTTTCCCTTTTTCTGAAAACCGCCAAACTTTATCAGGGCCGTTGGTAAGTTTGTCAGATACAGAGGTTTTCTCTCAGCCTTCTCGGCCTTCCTGGTCTCCCGGACCTTGCCTGTCCTGGTGCCCCTAGCGGGCCGCGCGGGGGCGGGCTCAGACTCCAGCTTCGCTGGGTTCTCCTGCTCCGGCCCATGGCGCCCTTCCGCGACTCGGGGCATGGCTCACCCTGGGCGGCCCCGGGCTCTGAGTCCGCTGCGTTCCCAGGCCCTTGACGGCCAGCCCTGCCCGAAACCCCTCTGCGCGTCAGAGTCAGCGTCGGAGAACTCGGGGGGCCACAGGGGCGCCTGCGGCCCAAACCTCCAGAGAACGTTCCTTCTTGGGCAGGAGGCAAACGTCCCCACAGGGGTTTGACGGTTGCCCTGGAAGAACTTCGAGGCTGTTTTCCTTCTCTGTTTCTGCGTGGAGAAGGGAGCGTAAAAGCTAGAATTGGATCCTGATAACTGCTAACTCAGAGAGCACCGGGGTAACTTTAATGGCAGTCAAATTTAATGCTTACTAATTAGGAAGCAAGGAAAGGAAAGTGTGCCAAAGATAGGAAAGTGGAATTGTCTCCCAGTTTCTCCAAACTTACTTTATTGCAGCGTCTTTCCAACTCCACAGTCTCACTGGAAATTAAAAATCTGAAAATTGTTGAAGGACCAGGAGAAATTAGAAGACATGTAAACAACATTTTCACCACACAAAGATTTGGAAGAACAACAGAAATCAGAAAACAATGTCCCAATGAATGCCTTTACATGAAGTGTTTTACGCGAAGAAATTATTGTCCTAGAAACTCTACCCCCATCAAGAACAGGAAGGATTATTATTTTCCACTCTAAATGAGGGTATGAGACCTACAGGATCATTTATTTTCACAGGTATAAAAATCCTACTGGAGAGAAAGGATGTATGCCGTGGCCCGTTTCTAGGGGCCAAGAAATGAACACAGAGACAAAGAGACAACAGACACACACAAAGACAGTACAAGACAAGACTGCAGCAAACTTTCTTGCTGTAGTTTCTTTATTTATAACACAGCCTGTTTGGCAACTGTCCCACCGCAGTTTCTTTGTTCCCACACTGTCCCTGTCCCGACTCAACACATCCCTGTTCCTTGTTGTTTCGTCTCCGGCGAGCAGATGTTTGCATCTGAACTTTCTAGCCCTTACTGTTTTCGGATCAGGGCGCCCTGGACTTGCGTTCAAGCCCACAGGCACATTCTGAGAAAAACAATAAGACACCGTTCCCAGACAAAGTGTTCTCTACAGATGTAAGCAAATCGTAGTAGGATATGAAACTTGCGTGTTTTATACAAAAATGCAGCTTCTTATTGGTTTTCTTTTCTTAGGCTGAAACATAAGCTATTTTGGCCATATATATGAAGAGTGTGACTTTCCAGGAGAGATTAAACTATTTTCTCTCCCATGGATTCGACACTGTATTGACGAAAACAATTCAGCTGTACAAGTTTGAGTACTGGTTAGAAAGTATTGGCCTGGTAGACCAGGGAAAAAAACACTAAGAACTACTGACCTAAAGTCTGAGCTTGACTCAACAGAGCTATATGCGCTTGAATGAGTGGAAGTGTAATTTTTCCTATACCAAACGACCTGGTTTGTCAAAGGTACAGTCACCTCATAAGTAAGAGAAATGCCCTAGTTTTCCACATTCATCGTACTCAACTAGATGCCGTGTCACATTGTTTCATGACATTAATAAGCATGAGGGAAACACAGGATTTCTAGGAGGCAGGAAATGTTGGGGGAGATCTCTTATTTTTTGCTACTAGGCAGTACCAGAATAGACACTGCAGAGAGGGAAACACAGCTCTGTTAAAAAATAAATGGCACTGGGAATTCGCTTCTACTCACAATATAGAGAGCCAAAGAGTATGTTACCCCCACTCTAGCAATAACAACAACAAAACTGGATAATATTTAAAAAATACTTTTTTGAGCCCATCAGAGAGCTACATTTGCAAAGCAACCAGATGAATTGATTCCAAAGGGTAATAAGTCCCTCAGAAAAAAAAATGAGACACATAAACCATTTCACCTTTATTCACTTCAAAATGTGTAAAGAAAAAAGCTGATAGAACTAAAAGAAAGAGCACAGGAGGAAAGAGTGATCATAAAAGAAGATAGAAACACTTGAAATTTTAATTCTTAAAGGCCAAGTGAGAGCTAACTTAACAGTTTAGAAAAAATGATATAATATATATAAAATAGAAAAAAATATTTATTTACATTTAAATATAAAAGATTTAAAATATGGTTTAAACTTTTTAAAAGATAACTTTAGTAAAAGATTGTTTAAAGCGAAATAGTGATATATTATTGAGTTTGTAACTTGTATAGAAGAAAATGTATGATAATAATAACATTAAAAAATGAGAAGGAAGAGATGGTAGTATATTATTGTAAGGTCCTTTTACTACATATGAGGTTGTATTAACAATATTTAAAGATAGATTCAATAAGATAAAGATATATATTGTAAATGTTAGAGCAGCCATCAAATACATACATACATACATACAGTTATACATATATACACCACAATATACATATATACACACACACACATATATAAAGTACAGCTAGTAAGCCAATGATGGAGATAAATGGAATTTTAAAATATTCACCTAATTAATAATCGATTGATAATAAATAAAGTAACCCACTTAATCACAATAAAAATTAGTGGTAGATTTGAAAGAAATTTACAATAATACTTTAAAAGTAAATGGCCTAAGCATTCCAGTTAAAAAGTAGAGATTATAAGATGAATAAAAAAGTAAGACCAAATTACCAGGTATACATATGTACAAGAAAGCCACTTTAAATATGAAAACACAATAGATTAAAATTTTAAAAATGGAAAAGATATGCTATACTAACACCAATAAAAAAATTGGAATGGCTATGTTAGTATCAAACTGACTAGACTTCAGAGCAAAGAATATTACGAGGGGTTATTGTTCATTTTATAGCAATAAAGAGATCGATTCATCAAGAAGACATAAGAATCCAAAAGGATGTTCCTCTATTGACATAGATTCAAAATGCATAAAGGAAAAGCTGATAGAACTAAAAGTGAGTGTGTAATGGTATCTCACACTCACTCTTCAGGTTCTGATTGCTACCTTCTAACTAAGTTTACTGTGACCTCCTTGATCTTCCGGCTATATGTTCCAGCTATACTCAGCTCATCGTGACTCCCCAAAGACTTCACAATACCATTTCACTTTACATATCTCTATTAAAGCAAGCAACTTACTGTATTTGTATATACATTATTTCTTCACGAAACTTAAAGCACCTTGAGGTCACAGTGCTTATTAGCCTTTGAAGCATTTAATCAGAATGTAATTAATTAGCTAGTTAATTAATTAAAGAGGCAATGTTACATGATGTCTGAGAAGCCAATGGCTACAACCCATGGAAACTGCTCATAATAGAGAAATTTTTAAAGGAGGATATTTGAGCATATTGTGAAGAGTGAAGATAAAAACAGAGAAATATTGTCCTTGGATGGATTTACCCGGGGAAAACTATGCAGGGAACAAAAAAATTCTATCAATAGAGAATGTTTATAAGAATTATTTTTAGCTAGAAATATTAGACTTCCAAGCTATGATTCTAGAGGTATCATTTTACCCTTTAATATCTTCAGATTCCTAGATTCTGAACTGCATTGCTTACTTGGGTAGTATTCATACATAATCAAGGAAACTGACACAGATTATCTCTCTTCCTCTAATTCTAGTTTGTTCCTTATTGACCTTTTACTTGATTCCAAGGTCATTTGAGTAATCCTTTATACAAAGAAACAACTATGTGGGCATGTAGTCATATTTTAAATACCTAATAATGTTTAAAATATTTAGGAAGAAAAAAAACGATTTGGCATCTTAAGAAAGTTTGGTAATTGCTACTGGAAGTGGCAGGTGGCAGTCATAAAAGAATATGTCCTTTTCATTGTAAGAAATAGCATAGATAGAAGGTCATAGCAACCACACCTGTAGAGCTCTTTAGTAACATGACTGCATCCTGATGGGAAAATGGCATCCTAGGGGAAATTTGGCTTTTTGGGGATGGTGGTTCTGATTGCAAAACAAACAAAGTCCAAAGGACTTTATCGAAAAGAAGTAATAAGTGGTCCCTCACTAGCTTCTTTTTAATTTTAGGCAGAAATGAAACCTTTGAAATTTCTAAGTCTCTAAAAAACCAAAGTTATAGAGCAGTGCTGTTCAATAGAAATAAAATGTAAGGGAATAACATCAGCAAGACATTCAAATATGAGGTTTCGCCCTCATCCCCACACAGAGACACCTATTTTGGTCATCCAGCTATAAGAATTGCAGTCTAAGTATTTAAAAAGAAATAGTGGATATTTGCATTGCTCTTTTAACTTTAGTAAACATCACACTTAATCTATGTTGGCTATCTTTATAGGACAGTATAATGTATGATAGAATTCCGTGGTATGGATTCACTACAATTTATTTAATCACTCCTATATTGATGGCTATGGTTGTTTCCAATTTTTCTTCTGACCATACTGAAATTAACATCGTCATATGTATTCTCCTGATAGATCACTGATTTTAAAAATCTTTTCACAGAAAATATACGTAAGAGTTATAAAACATATCCCAATTTTAGAAATACTATATGTGAAAAAATTGCCTTTGAATCTAGAAAAGTATGCATAGTAATATCATTTTGCATGTTTCCTAGGAGTTAATAAGTAACTATTGCATAAAATTTCAACATTGGCATTGAAATATAGTTACCAACTAAAGCAGTTCCTGATGAGCTCAGCAATCCAAGAGCTGAAGATATTTCAAGAAAAGAGCTTAAATTAAACAATGAACGTTTATGAGGTGCTGTTATACATCCTCCATGTAATACCTATTTCAGCTATAACCTCTAAAGATATAGGAAGAGCTCACTAAAGTAACATATTGATGGTAATTCATATGAGTCTTTTAGCAAATAAGTTGGTAAAGTAGGTAAACTACATAATGGTGCAAATTACTGTAATGTGGCTTAGTACAGGATAACCTCAACTATTAAGGGATATAGAACTGTTTTCTCTTTTAGTAAACGGTCCTCATTTACTTAGCTTCTCTGGTAAATGATTCTTGCTTTTTTTCTGATTGAGAGTAATG